TTTTTTTAGGGAGAAACCAGGCTGATTTGGTTAAGGGGGGGGCCACAATAATTTAGTGGTGGGGTCCATCGCCATGGTGGGGACAGGGGATCCCCGGTGACACCGGAGGGGGTGGCAGTGGCTCTGCAGGGACAGGGACGAGGGCGCTGCGGTGTCGAGGACGAAGGATCTCTGGTGACGCCGACGAAGGAGCTGCGGTGACGAAGATGATGGAGGACGAAGGAGCCGTGGTGACAATGGTTCTCCGGTGACCGCAATGGTGAAGGACGAGGAGTCTCCGGTGACAGTGACAACTGAGGAGCTACGATGCTTCTTGGGTGACGAGGGTGCGCCGGTGACGAGGACGAAGGCTCTCCGAGGACGATGATGATGGAGGACGACGAAGGAGCTGCGGTGATGATGATGAGGGAAGAGACGAGGGCTCTCCAGTGACCATGATGGTGGAGAAGGACAAGGGCTCTCTGGTGACTATGATGGCAGAGAAGGGACAAGGGCTCACCGAGGATGATGAAGACCAAGGATGAGGGTTCTCCACTGATGATGACGAGAGGATGAAGGACGAGGGTTTTTCCGGTGACGAGGACAATTGCTTTCTGGTGACGACGATGACGATGGCCAAGGATGAGGGCTTTCCAGTGACGATGATGAAGACAAAGGATGAGAGCTTTCCGGTGCTGCTGGACAAGGACGAGGTCTCTCTGGTGATGATAGCGATGGGAGGACGAAGGCTCTCCATGATGAGGGACAAGGGCTCTCTGGTGACATTGGAGGAGGACGCGGCGCTCCAGTGACAACGATGACGGACAAGGACGAGGGCTCTCCGGTGACACTGGAAAAGGACGAAGAAGAGGGTTCTCCGGTGATGATGACGACGGACGACGGCTCTCCGGTGACGCTAGAGAAGGACAAGGAAGAGGGTTCTCCGGTGATGATGATGATGGACGACGGCTCTCCGGTGACGCTAGAGAAGAACAAGGAAGAGGGTTCTCCGGTGATGCTAGAGAAGGACGAGGGCTCTCCGGTGACGAAGACAACGGAAGGACGAGGGCTCTCCGGTGACGAAGACAACGGGCAAGGACGAGGGCTCTCCGGCGACGCCGGAGAAGGACGAGGGCTCTCCGGCGACGAAGACAACGGAAGGACGAGGGCTCTCCGGCGACGCCGGACAGGAAAGGGAGGGCTCTGCGGCGGCTTTCAAGCCTCCTCTTCGGCCTCTTCACCGAAGTCCTCCTCTTCCTCGGCCGTGGCGTCCTGGTACTGCTGGTACTCGGAGACCAGGTCGTTCATGTTGCTCTCGGCCTCGGTGAACTCCATCTCGTCCATGCCCTCGCCCGTGTACCAGTGAAGGAAGGCCTTGCGGCGAAACATGGCTGTGAACTGCTCCGAGATGCGCTTGAAGAGCTCCTGGATGGCCGTGCTGTTGCCGATGAAGGTGACGGCCATCTTCAAGCCCCGGGGCGGGATGTCGCACACAGCCGTCTTCACGTTGTTGGGGATCCACTCGACGAAGTAGGAGCTGTTCTTGTTCTGCACGTTGAGCATCTGTTCGTCCACCTCCTTCATGGACATGCGGCCCCGGAAGACGGCGGCCACCGTGAGGTAGCGCCCGTGTCGAGGGTCGCAGGCGGCCATCATGTTCTTGGCGTCGAAGACCTGCTGGGTGAGCTCGGGGACGGTGAGGGCCCGGTACTGCTGGCTGCCGCGTGACGTCAAGGGGGCGAAGCCGGGCATGAAGAAGTGGAGACGAGGGAAGGGCACCATGTTGACCGCCAGCTTGCGCAGGTCGGCGTTGAGCTGCCCGGGGAAGCGGAGGCAGGTGGTGACGCCGCTCATGGTGGCCGACACCAGGTGGTTGAGGTCTCCGTAGGTGGGAGTGGTCAGCTTGAGGGTACGGAAGCAGATGTCATAGAGGGCTTCGTTGTCGATGCAGTAGGTCTCGTCCGTGTTCTCCACCAGCTGGTGCACCGACAGCGTGGCGTTGTAGGGTTCCACCACCGTGTCCGAGACCTTGGGTGAAGGCACCACGCTGAAGGTGTTCATGATGCGGTCGGGATACTCCTCGCGGATCTTGGAGATGAGCAGGGTGCCCATGCCCGAGCCGGTGCCACCACCCAGCGAGTGGGTCAGCTGGAAGCCCTGCAGGCAGTCGCAGCTCTCCGCCTCTTTGCGCACCACGTCCAGCACCGAGTCCACCAGCTCCGCCCCCTCCGTGTAGTGGCCCTTGGCCCAGTTGTTGCCGGCGCCGCTCTGGCCTGGTGGTGGGTTGGGGACACGGGTTAGGACCGGGCCGTGGGGACGCCCGGGGAGGGTTGTTGGGTCTCCTCTGGGGTTGTCAGCTCTCTCTTGGAGAGCTCCAGCTCCTTTGGGAGCTCCATCCCACCCTTGGGGACCTCCATCACCCTCCTTGAGGGACCCTGAGCTCCATGGGGACCTCCATCCCACCCTTGGGGACTTTGAGGTCCTTGGGGACCTTCAGCTTCTCCTTGGGCATCTTAAATCTTCCCCATGAGGACCTCAAACTTCTCCTCAGGGACCTCCGTCACCCTCCTTGGGGACTCAGAGCTCCTTAGGGACCTCCGTCCCACCCTTGCGGACCGCCATCTTCTCCTTAGGCATCTCTATCTCCCCATTGGGGACCTTCATCGTCCTCCCCAGGTACCCCCAGTGCACCTTGGGGACCTCCAGCTCCTTTGGAGACCTTGATCCTCCTCCTTGGGCATCTCCAACCCACTCATGGGACCCCTCCCCCAGCACCTTGGGGACCTGATCACCCTTCCTTAGGGACCTCCACCTTCCCCTTGGGGACCTGCCACCTCCTGGGCCACCAAGGGGACAGCAGGGACCTGCCATCCCCCAAAATGTCCAAATAGGGCCACACAAGGAACTCGACCCCACAGGTGGGATGCGGCCACCAGTGCAGGGCCAGCAAGGGGACCGGGGGGCAGGGGACACT